CAGGGATCCGCAACAATGATGGGAACTTGGTCATAGACAGCCTCTTTCAGTACATCAATCAGAGGAAGAAGCTTAGAAGATGCCAGGTGGGAGCGCTTGCCTCTGTCACTGTTCCCATTCATTTCATCTATGGACCAATGGATCCTGTAAATCCCTATCTAGAGTTTTTGGAGCTGTACAGCAAAACACTGCTGCGGTCCACAGTGTCGATTCTGGATGACCACATTAGCCACTACCCGCAGCTAGAGGATCCCATGAGCTTCTTGAATGCATATATGGGCTTCATCAACTCTTCCTAATTTGGAAAGACTAGCTTCCTTGTGTTACCTCCCTACTCCCATATCTGTTGTGTATTCCACTTAAGAAGAAATGCCCAAAAGAGGTCCTGGTTATCAAATACTATTCTCACAAAAATCCACTTTACTCACATGGGTCAACAGAATCCAGAAAAAATGTAGCAAAAGTTCTAAGGGTGACATAATAGCTCACCTCCTATTCCTCTGACATCTGATCAAGTGTGTGGACTTACCTTTGTCTTTGTATTAGGAAATGCTGGTGAGCACTGCTCACTGATTTAGAAAGACAGGCATTAGATATTCTTTTGCATAGAAGGTTTGTGTACACTTCTGTAAACTTTTGTGAAATATTTAGAAATGGTAGCATCTGGCCCAAGCCCAACTGGAATTCTGCAATGAAAGAATGAGCAGAAAGGGCCTGCTTAACCTCTCTTTGAATGGCTTCATAGGCATATGGTTTTTTAAAGTCCTCTAAGTAGTAACGCAGCATAAGTGAGAGTGAGAATGAATCTTCCTTGTCATAACTTTGGGTTTGGTTTCATCAACTGCTTTTCTAATTTTAGATATTTTGTTAAAATAGCTATTGGTTTAAATAATAGAGAATTCTGAGTATGCTTGTAGACTATGATTGCCTGTGCATGTGGTATATATTTATAAAGCATACTCAGCCAGCAGACTCTTACTCTGGCAGAGTAGAGAACCTTATTAAGAAAGTATAATTTCTTAATAAACTGAAATAAGGCCACACTATAGAATTTCCTACAATCACAGGACATGAAGGACCAATTGCATTCTATGACAGAGATCCACTGTTATTAGCTGAAAAGACGATTCTAACAGCAAATAACAATCTGACTGCTCATACCTCATTGCTTTGGAAGCATATCCCTTCTGAGCTTATGTGGAAGGGAGGGGACTATTGTATAGTTCAAGTTCCCATGCTGGGTATCTATTAACCCCTCTTGTGATGATGGCTTAGATTCCATTGGCTGTCCCAGAGAGGCTTTCTCATATAGCTCAGCAATTCCTGTCCTTTATGGACAGGAAAGTTCCCAGATAATTATAAGAACAAATTGTGAAAGACCTATAAACAAATGGTGCTCAATACCTTTTTAAAGTCACAGTTTCACTGTCTTAGTCAAAGCAGGATTATTAAGTGATTAATTTTTTTTAATTAGTAACTTCAAGTATAACAACTTTTAAATTGGAATAAGTGTTTATTTTCTATTAATAAAACAAATTGTGACCAAAAAAACATAAAATAAAGCTATGGGAGCTGTACTGGGTTAAAGAAAATTTAAGAACTTTGACATCCAAATAGACTACGTGATAATTCACTGGAAATTTCTAGCATTCCACAAAAGATATTTTCAAGAGACAATTGGAGAAAGCTGAGCAAGACCTCAATGTTAAGTCACATCTTTGTTTTAATAGCATCTTCTTTAGGTTTGATAGTACTGTTGTCTTAATGAGAAGTTCCTTAGTTAGATAGCTCTGTTGTGATTATGATGAAGGACATAGAAGGGTTGAGAAGGAGGGAGGAAGGGAAAATACTGATTCCTAAAACAACCCCAAGGAAGGCTATAAACTGGATCTGGCTTGCTGTTTCAAGCCAGGGGCTAAAATGTGGGTACACCCTAAACCTTCCCTAGGAATTCTACAACCACTGTTAAAAGAGGCTTAAAACACAAAATCAAAGCAACACTGCTGTGGAACTAAGGATTTTATCTGATGGCCTAAAAAGGGTTGCTTGTGCTTGTGGACAAACTGATAGTCTCAAGACCAAATGAACATTGTGACTGGCCACCTGCTATCCCTCAGGCTAGGTATGCAGCATCTCCAACATCACAAGGGCAGGAGTCCTTTAATGCTATAATTAGAACTAGGTCTGGTCCAGGGACCTATGGAGGTCACCCTAAACCCTCAATCAGGAGGGAAGATCCCAAAACAAGAGATAAAACAAAGTCCAAAAAACTAAATGTCCTGATCAAAATGAGTATGTAACCAGTAGTTTAGAAAAATGCTTAATTGTATTTAAAAAAAAATTCATCAGTGAATAATTATGTGGTTTATGCTCAGGGCTGGGAGACACACCAGGAAACAGAAGCATCGTCCCTGCTTCATGAAACTTGCAATCTAGCAGTGAGGCCCATATACATAAATGTGTAATTGTAAACTGTGGTAAGTTACACTGAAGAAAGAACAAAGTGTGTGAAAGAGAAAAACAATGGAAAGAACTTTCCTGAAAGTGCAGGTGAAGGGCCTATGGCAAGAAAACACGTAGTTCCAATCACTTCTTTTTTTTTTTTTTTTTTTTTGGAACCGGGGATTGAACTCAGACCTTTGCACTTGCCAGGGAAGCGCTTATTCCACTGAGCCATCTCCCTGGCCCCCTCAATGACTTCTAGATCAATGTAATAGAACATGGAGCCAAAGAAAGAATGAAAGAGAGAGGCAGGGGCCTAGTGCTGCCAAGTGTTATAGGCCAGGAAAAAATTATATTTAATCATAAATGCAGTAGAAAACCATGGGAGACCTAAGCAGAGTCATGGAGAGAGGGCATTCTATCAGGCTTTCATGGAGGACAAATTGGTCAAGCAATGGCCATGACCCATCCACATGGCTGACACTGACAAAGGATCTACAAAGTTCAGTACAGGGTTATAGGATAAATCCTGAGGGGCCTTGACTGACCTTATCAGACACAAAAGTTACATTTCTTGTTATATAGGTCTTGCTTTCTCTTGGTCTTAACCATCTAGCAGAAAAGTATAAAAACAATGTGTATAAAGTAAAGCCCTATTAATATGCTGAGCTGTGAAAGGCTCAAATCTACAACTTCTGAGTAGTAGGCTCAACCCGCTACTATTGTGGACTGCTGGACTGTGTTGGATTGTTTTGCTGAATTCACACACCTATAGTATTTAGATGTCAATGGAATACCCATCTCTGACAGGACTAAACAAAAAAAGGGGATACAAAGGAAGGATCATTTTGTATTTGTATATACAGAATAGTTAGGATAGATATAAAGCTACTTTCACTTAACTCAATGAGAAGAAAGATTTGTACTAATAGTGTTTGGACAGGATATCCTGTCTGCATCTTGTACTATGGATAACTGCTAAGAAGATAACAATGTATAATGTATTAATTATTGAACCTGTCCTATTAATCAGCTTTGAAACTGTCTCATTCATATTTGTTTCTCAATAAAATGAAAAACAAACATGGTAGATCTTGAAAGAGAATAATGGCATGATTCATTATCTACCACTTAAAAATCTCTGAAATTATCTTACTATCTTATTTGTTCTTCATCAAAATAGAATATAAGATCTTTGCCAGCAGATATCTTGTCTCTCTTTTTTACTGTTTGATCTTGGGCATATTACACGTGCTCAACAGGTTTTTAATAATGTATTTTTAAGATTGTACTGCCATTATGCAAAATATGCATTAGCTATTAGGGCTCTGAGACCCCACTGTTCATTTCTTGACATTTTTTGGACATACTTGATTA